AATAAAATGATTCTGTATTTTTATTCTTATGCTCCTATTCATTGTTTTTCATGTTCACCTATTCAGGAGCATAAACTGACCACATATTCAGGAGCATAAAAGGAAGACGGGGTGTATAAAAAGGAGATGATGTATATAGACATAGCTATGTGTAAAGAAGAAAAATTTAGAAATGGGGCTTTAATTGGAAATACAAAAATATTACTGTAGCTGCATGAATATTCAGTGTGAGACAGATTTGGAATATCAAACCGCAGTGCTCAAATTAATACATCCAAATCAATTTGGTCTAATTCAATGATTTTCCATTCATGTACGTTGCCTTATATTGGTCTAAATTGATCCAAATTGAATTCAGTCCAATTTACTGATTTGAGATAATACTGATGTTTCAATTGCATTGATTTTCCAAAGTGACTGGAATGTTCAAATCAAACTGGACTCAGTTGGAAGATCCATGCTTGTCATCATATAAAAGAGGATCATCACTGTGATGACCCAGGGCATGGCACAGAGGCAACACAATCAGCTGACAGTTCAAACCGCCCCTTTATTGCGCCAAATGTTCTCCAAATGCTCCCACGTTTCTGGCAATTCCCAGAGCCTCTGGCTGCAAGGAGACCAGCACAGCACTGTGAGCACAATGGCTGCAAAACAAGAAATCCAGCAGGGCAAGGGAATAAGTCAATTAGACCAGGAAGCAAAGGAACAAGGCAATTAATCCAGGAAGCAAGAAATAAAACAAGAAGTCTAGGGAAATTCCGATGTCGGCAACAGCACACAACACTCCATGAATTCAGCATTTGTTCCCGAAAAATGCCCCTCCCCACATTGTCCCCTTAAATCTCAGTCCCCAGGTGTGCCTTGTGGAGAGGGGCAGGGTGGTCTCCTCCTGAGTAGTCAGGTCAGCCTGCGCTGTTCCCACCTTCTCTTCACTCTCCGTGCTCAAGGATCAGGAGGGGATGGTCCTTGCTCATCACCTGAGCTCTGTTTTTCATGTTCACTGCTTAGCCTCTCTTGGTCATCCTGCCCCCGTTCCTCCCTGCCTACAAGCTGTCCCAATCCTGAAAGGTCCTGGCCTGGCTCAGCCTGCTCCTCCTCATGTTCCTCCAAAGCCAGCCAAGATGCCCCCTTGATCTCCATCAGCTCTAGTTCCAGCTCATCTTCCTCCGTAGATTCAGGCTCTGACGGGGGAGTGGGGTGGAGGCATGACAGTCACCTACTTGACTGATATACAGTGTCTTCTAGGTGGATTCTTCTTTCTACTGACCTGGGCCAAGTCTTCAAAAAGAGAACTGCCTCCCGTCAAGAATATCTTGCTTACATAGCTCTCTTCTTGAGGAATTTCCAAAATTCAGTTCAAATATGATTATCTTCACACATTTCCCTCACATCATTAGATTTCCCTCAGATCATGTTTTTAAAAAGCCTAATTCAATTATGATGCCTCACTAGATATCATGTGCTGAATATTGTAAGGCCAGCTCTGGCTACCTGTGGACTAATGCAAGTTAATTCAAGCAGAGCAAGCGGTAGCATGGACTCTATTTCGCTTATATGTAGAAATATTTGTCCAAGTTCATACAACACACATCTAGTTAATAAAACACAATTATAAAACATGCTATGTCCAGGCAATGAAATTCCTTCTTTCTTTCTTTCTTTCTTTCTTTCTTTCTTTCTTTCTTTCTTTC